AGACGACATATATATATATATATATATATACAAAACTGCAGTGGCGCTTCGCGCCATGCACCTTGGTCCTTGAAGTTTGGTATGCAGGCGGACTAACGGGAAGGTCAAGCCGACAATTTCGCGATAGCTCCTTTTCCGGCATCGCCGCTAGAATAATGTTATTCGTTATCCTTCCTCCATGCTTCTTATTCCTAATTTTCGCCATGCAATGCGCATTCTCCCCATCCTCCTCAGCTCTTTTTGCGGAGGCTCCTCCTTGGAGAGCCTCTGGGGGCCTCATGGGCGTGCTCTGGAGGCTTTCTTAACGCCTTCTGGAGGCCTCCTGGGCGTGTTCTGGGGGGTTCTGGGGGTTTGTCGGGCCACTCTGCCTCCAACCGCGGTCTCCCTGAACGACCGGGTCACGATTTGGAATGCTTCGGAGGGTGTCTTAGGGCCATCTTGGGCCGCCATGGGGCTCCCTGAGGGCCATCTTGGACCCCTGTTGTGCCGTTTTGGGGCTCTCTTGGACTGCCTGGAAGCCCTTTAGGATGGTTGTGGGGCAATTTTGGAGCCTCCCAGGCGGCTTCGGACGCCCAGAAGACCGCCGTCTTGGAGCGTCGGGAAGCCGAAAAGAGGAGAACCCCAAAATAAGCCATAAACCAACCAAATCAATGATTTTCGCCTCTTGGGGCCTTCTTGGGAGTGCTCTTGGAGGCCTCTTGCAACGTTTCGGGATGATCTTTGGGGGTATGACAGCTTCTTGGGGGTTGTCGTCGACCGTATTGGGGCTCTCTGGGGTCGTTTCGGGAGCGCGCCACGTCCTGCGAGGCCCTAGGGGCCGCTTCGAGTACCGTCCGGAGGGCCCCTGAGCCCCAGATCCCGGGAGTCCGGTTTTTTTGGGGGGAGGGGGGATGGGTTTTCCCCCCGCCCGGGCTTGTAAAAATATAGAAAGAGGAATATCCTTTCCCGAGCGGTGTGGCCAGAAAGCGCCCGCCACGACACATATACTGTAAGATTTCTCGGTGCGCGCGTCGCCCCCGGGGGAGCGTCCCCGGAAATCCAGAACCTTTCCCAGGGGCCGGTTTCTCCTCCCGGCTCGTTTTCTTGACGGTTCCGAGGCCTGGCCAGGGCGCCCGGGGCCGAAAAGAGCGGAAGACCTCCCATCGTGCTCCTTTTTCCTGACCCGAGGGGGTCTGGGTCTCTTGAGCAGGGGCCGACCGTCCCGGCATCTCTAGAGTCCTACCACGAAGAGTTCTTAGAACCACAAAAACAATGTTCTTAGAACATAAGCCCATTTTTTGTGTCCGCGCAATATTTTGGGAGGAGAAGGAGGAAAGCTGAGGGGACGAAGAGCAGACAACACCTGCAAACTCGCGTGCACTCTCCAAACGGGAACCGGAGAAACTACGGGAGAGCCGGAAGCAAAACTTGGGAGGAGCTCAGAACATAAGCCCGATGTGTTGAAACAAGACAGCCCCAGCCAGAAGTGTTCTAAGAGCATCTCGTGGGAACCACAAAACAAGTTCTTAGAACATTGCTTGGTGGGGCCACAGGCGAGCCAGGACGCTTCGCCACTGCTGGAGTCTCGAGCTGCCCAGACCCCCGACGTCGTGATTTTTTCATGACGTCGACCCCCCGAGGTCTGGACCCATTCCCCGGGACCGGCTTTTCATCCTGAGTCGTTTTTTGACGCTCCCGCGGCCCGGTGAGGACCTCCGGAGGGCAAGAATAGCGAAAAACCTTCCGTCGTGATTTTTTCACGACGCGAGGGGGTCTGGGTGGATCGATCTGCCACGGCCGACGAGAAAAACGCCCGGCTCGAGAAAGTGGCGCTGCGCCAAGAGCTCCGGGCAGGCCCGCCGGGGGCCCCGCGGGCGGTGCCCGCGCGCGCTCCCCGGGGGGCAAGAGCCGGGAAGGGCACGCGCAGCGCTCCCCGGGGCCCACGACGTGGGCCGGAGGGGCGGATCCCTCGCCGTCCTCTTCCTCCCCCCTCTCGTGCGCTCGTCTCCACCCCTCCTCCTCCCCTTCCTCCTCCTCCTCCTCCTCCTCCTCCTCCTCCTCCTCCTCTGAAGGTGCCCTAGGACACACAAATAAACACACACACACACACAAATAACGGGATTCCCAATCTTTTCTATAGTTTCAGGGTTTTTGTCTTCCCCCCCACTCCCCATAGTTTCCCATATTTCTTGGGGGATCGACGATTAATTGTGTCTGTGTGTTTTTTGTTCCTCCTCCTCCTCCTCCTCCTCCTCCTCCTCCTCCTCCTCCTCCTCCTCCCCTTCCCCCTCCTTTGCCTCCCCTTGCCTCCTCCACGCGGCGGGGCGCGGCCCCTGGAGAGGTCGGCGGCGAGCGACGGGGGCGGTGGTGGTGAAGCAAGGGGCTCAAAGGGGGGGAGGGGGAGGGGGAGGAGGAGGGGAGGAGGAGGAGGAGGAGGAGGAGGAGGAGGAGGAGGAGGAGGAGGAGGAGGAGGAGGAGGAGGAGGAGGAGGAGGAGCAGGATGAGGAGGAGGGGGAGGAGGGGGAGGAGGAGGGGGAGGAGGAGGAGGGGCATCGTGGCCAGACCTCGCGGCGACCCAGAGATCTGGCGCTCCAGCGAAGCCAGAGCGGGCGGTTTCTGGGGCTGCGTTCGGCCCCTGCGCCCCCTGCCCGGCCTCGGGACCGTCAGAGAACGACGCAGGACGAGAAACCCGCCCTGTAGGAGAGCGGTCCAGACCGCCGGGGCCCACGCATCGGAAAAATTGGACGCAGCCGGAGACGTCTGGGAAGGAGGAGGCCTTCTCGGAAGGCGGCCGGGCTTCTGCAGAAGGCCTCCGGCCTCCAAATCAGATTTTCTGCGTCGCCGGGGAAGGCTTAAGAAGCTTCTCGGAAGGCGCGGAGACTTCTGAGCCTTCTGAGAAGGGCCGCCCCTTTCTGAGAAGGCCTTCTCAGAAGGCCCGCCGATGAGATCCAGCGTCATGGGGGTCACTGGGTCAAACCTGTGTGCCCGCGAAAGGACGGCCACTGAGGGCACAGGCGGGTAAAAACTGGCAGGCGCCCGTGTCATTACACAGGGATGATACGCCGTCTGGCGAGTGGGCAGGAAACCAAAAGCAATCGCAAACAGAAGTGGGCGAAACACGAGGGGGGGAGGAGGAAGAGGAGGAGGAGGAAGAAGAGAAGCAACCACCACGTGACAAATCACGAAGGGAGCCCAGGGCCCCATCATTCTGCGTCGTTCATCGAGCCAGATGGATCTGTGCTGGCCACGGGGCCAGAAACTGGGGGGGGGGGGGGGGAAACGCCAGGTGTCAAATAATTGCAACGCCCGAATCTCAGAGGAGGTACCAACACCGCGAATCCCCAAACCTTTCGCGGGGTGCGCTCTACCCAGAATCTCTAAACAAGCCCGGCTGTGGCGACGAGGGCCTCCCAGGAGGCCCGACGGGGCGAGAACACTGCACACTCGGTAATGTCGGCATTTTGCTCCTCAAGGGCTCTTTTGGGTGCGCGGGCGCGCGAGGCGGGTCGAACGCCGTGCAAGCAGGGGCAGGCCGTGCCATCAGCCATGCAAGGGAAACGCAGAGAGGCGAGCAACGCCATGCACAGAGCGGGGCGGAGCTCAGCGCAGCCAAAGTGGCGCGGACGGCGCCTCACGAAAGGGCGGTGGACACGGGCAGGGCCGGTCTGTCGTTGCGGATGATTCTTCGACGATCGCAGGGCCAGGCGGGGGCCCCTTGGACGCCGAACGCGGCGTGAAGACTCACTCTCGTCTCTTCACTACGCTGGAGGTCTGGGTGCACAGGAGCTCCCTAGGATTCGGGTCGGGCGAAAGGGGGGGATAGCAAAGGGGGGGTTTGAGAATCAGCTCACGTAGCTGAAATGTATCGAGGAAAGGCCGAAACCAGCTGCATGCAGCAAATTTCGTAACCCCCCCTTTCCCAATCCCCCCCTTTCGCCCGACCCGAAGGATGTGTGGCGTGTCGCCATACATAGGGCTCTCACCAGGGTCGAACGAACAAAAAAAAAAAAGGATCCGCAGAAGACTCCCGCAGGCGGGACGGGGAGCCTGGGACAGCCGCCCCCGACATCGCTTGGGAAGGCAGCCGTCTCGCCTCAGACTCCTCCACTAAATCGCTCGAGCCATGAGCTCGCCTCAATATGCCGGCGACGTGTTTTGATCCGGACGGCCACGACTTCAATCGCAGAACGGATCGGGCGTGTCCTGGGAGTCTCTAGAACTTCTAGAGACTCCCAGGACTTCTAGAGACTCCCAGGACTTCTAGAACTTCTAGAGAGCCCCAGGCCGTCCAGCGGGAACTTGCATCCCCATGGGCTTCTAGAGTCTAGAAGCCCATGGGGCTGCAAGTTCCCGCTGGACGGCCCTCTCCTCCTCGAGCCCGACTCTCCACCCTTGCTGCCCCTGGGGTGCTCTGCTGAGGCAGATCTTCGCTACGTTGGGCGCCTGGGAGAACGGAGATCTTGCCGCCCGGCACCTGCGACATCGTGACTTTTGCAATCCGCGGCCACGAAAGGCCCCAACCGCTCCCGTGGGGGGTCGTTTTCCATCCCGGAGTCCGTTCCTTCTTGCCCTGGGCGGCCGACGTCGAGGAAAAACGCCCAGGCTGCACAGATCAGATTGTCGAAGATCGTGGTATGCCCAGACATCCGACGTCTTGCCTGTTCCACTGCGCGGCCCCTGGATGTCTCGACCCACTTCCTGGGACCACTTTGTCATCCAGAGCCGTTCTATGACGGTCCCGCGGGGCCCGGCAAGGGCCCCTGGAGGGTGAACACCTGGGCACACACCCGTCCTGAAATGTGCCACCCACTGCGTTGGAGGTCTGAGTGTTGGATCGCGAGCAAGATGCACATCCGCATCCACTGCATCTTGGAGTCGCCCCGCGCCTGCGACCTGGGCACCCGGAGCACCTCCGCCTGTGCTCCCGGCGCGGCCGCGCCCAGGGCCGCTGCCACCTCCACGCACACGACGTCGCCCTCCGCGTCGGCCACGACGCGCCCCGCTGCGAAGGCCGCGCCGCCCTGGCTCCCCAGACCCCCTCGAGTCATGAAAAAATCACGACGGGAAGTTTTTCATTATTTTTGGCCTCCGGGGGCCCTTACCGGCCCTCGGGACCGTCAAAAAACGACTCAGGACGAAAAACCGGTCCCGGGGAATGGATCCGGACCTCTGGGGGTCGCGTCTTGAACAAATCATGACGTCGGGGGTCTGGGTCTGGCGTCGGACGGCAACGCCAGACCAGGCCAGGGCGAAGAGAGATTCGGGTGCAGGTGCAGCGGGGATCTCTGAAATCCGGCGGCTCTGGACCCAGACCCCCGACGTCATGATTTTTTCATGACGCGACCCCCAGAGGTCCGGACCCATTCCCCGGGACCGGTTTTTCGTCCTGAGTCGTTTTTTGACGCTCCCGAGGCCCGGTGAGGGCCCCCCGAGGCCGAAAATTAGGAAGATCCTCCCGTCGTGACTTTTTCATGACTCGAGGGGGTCTGGGGAGGACGCACCGGGCGCCGCGGCCGTCTCAGGACGCTCAAAGGCAGATCTGCCCTCGTCCTCTCTAGCCCCGCCCGACAGCGTGGATCACCACGGGGGGGCGCTGAGGCTCCGAGACGACGCCTGGGGAGGTCTTCGTTGGAAGGAGCACGGGCGAGGGAGCCCCACGAACAGGCCGTTCCACTGGACCCATGGACCCCCTCGAGTGCTGACAAAATCACGACGGGAGGGTTTTCCTAATTTTCGGCCTCCGGGGGCCCTCACCGGGCCTCGGGAGCGTCAAAAAACGACTCGGGATGCAAAGCCGGTCATGGGGAAAGGGTCGGGACCTCTGGAGGGCGACGTAATGAAAAAATCATTACGTCGGGGGTCTGGGGATTGGGCCAGGTTTAGCTGGGGATGAGGCCGGATGAAGCCAGATCGGCGGGATGAAGCTGCGGAAAATCGGATTTCGGATTCCATCAGACAAAGTCTGTTAGCAACCGCGAGAATATATACTCTGTGTCCCTCAATAGTTTTGGGGCCCCGGACTATACAGGTACCCCCCGGACTACAAGTACCCCTCCCCCGGACTACAGGCACCCCCCCCCCCCGGACTACAGGTACCCCCCCCGGACTACAGGTACCCCCCCCCCCCCGGACTACAAGTACCCCCCCCCAGACTACAGGTACCCCCCCCGGACTACAGGTACCCCCCTAGCCCGCGGAACTACAAACCCCCACGCGTTCGCTACGTAGTCTCTGGAAGCCAAAGCGACCCGCCAAGATGCGTCCGCACATTTTCACATAGGCGTGCTAAGAAATTCGCCACCGTTGGGCCAGCGGTCGGGGCTGAGCACTCTCGACGGACGAGTGGGCACGGGAACGAGAAGATAACGAGGAACGGAACGATATATCTACAGAGAAACAGAAAAATAAGCAGGGGAACGGACGAACAAGAGTCTGTGCGTGCATGCGCGCGTGCGCGCAGGCGTGTCGCGTGCAACGATGCGCGTGAGGCCCCGCGCGTGTAAGTACTAAACACCCGCGTGCGTGGAACCACGCGTGCTTTGAGGCATGACCATATGCGCCCCTCCCCCCCGGACTACAAGTACCCCCATGCGCGCCCCCCCCGGACTACAGACACCCCCCCCCAGACTACAGGTACCCCCCCCGGACTACAAGTACCCCCCCCCCCCGGACAGGTACCCCCCCCCGGACTACAAGTACCCCCCCCCCCCGGACTATAGGCCCCCCCCCCGGACTACAGGTACCCCCAGAACTATTGAGGGACACTGAGTACCAGCGCCGAGACAAAACTGAACCTCCCAGGAGTTGCATCCTGACTAGTTAAGGGGTCCCTCCGTAGATGCTGAGAGGTCATAGCAGGTTGCATCCTCAGGGGGCCTTGTCTGTCCCGTCGCGCCCCTACCTGCGTCGAGCCCGTGCCGAACCCATGCCTGGGTCAAATCCGCGCCGAGTCCACGCTGGAAGCGCGTCGGATCCACGGCAAAGCCGCGTTGAGCCCGCATCGAGCCAGAGGAAAGGACACTCGGCGGTGGACAAACCCCCCTTTAGTAAACCTCCCCTCAGTGAAAACGGCCCGGGACCGAAGCCGACGGCCCTGGACCCGCAGAAACGACGGCCGCGACGCCCCCTCGCAGGCCGGAAACGGCCAACTGGCCAATCGACGTGTCAGGGTAGGAGGTCTGTCCGCCCCCGAGACACTCACTCGGGGGGCAGGCGCGGCGCCCGAAAAGTACAGTAGGGGTCCCCATGTGAACCCTGCCCCTACCCCCCACGATTTCTGAGGGGGAGGGCGAAGTGAACCCCACCCTCCCCCTCAGAAACCGCGGGGGGTAGGGGTAGGGTTCACATGGGGACCCCCTATACCCAGACCCCCGACGTAATGATTTTTTCATGACGTCGACCCCCCGAGGTCCCGACCCTTTCCCCATGACCGGCTTTGCATCCTGAGTCGTTTTTTGACGCTCCCGAGGCCCGGTGAGGGCCCCCGGAGGCCGAAAATTAGGAAAAACCTCCCGTCGTGATTTTTTCAGTACTCGAGGGGGTCTGGGTCCAGGGCTCCCCTGGCGCACACGCAAAGGGAAGGGCGGGCCCCGCGCACCCGCCGGCGGAGGCAACGGCCCGCGTGCTGCGATGGGGGCGTCCGTGTGCCGAGAGGCTGCGCAGGGGCGGCAGGGCGACGGGGCGTCGGTCTCCCAGACACGTCCGGCGGCTCCGGCCTGTTCGATGCGCGGGCCCTGGAGGTCTGGACCACTGCTCTCTGCAGTCCCAGACCCCCTCGAGTTATGAAAAAATCACGACGGGAGGTGTTTCATGAGTTTTGGCCTTCGGGGGGGCCCTTACCGGCCCTCGGTGCCGTCAAAAAACGACTCAGGACGAAACACCGGTCCCGGGGAATGGGTCGAGACCTCGGGGGTCGACGTCATGAAAAAATCATGACGTCGGGGGTCTGGGGTCGGACTTGATGCTTGGATGCCCGAAATGGGTGCGGAAAAAATGGGTACAATGCCCAACAACAAATGTTGTCCCACACCAGCAGCGGCCGCTGTTGGGCAGGCGGCCCTCTGTCTCGAACGGACACAGGCCGCGGCGGCGTGGACAGCGAGTCCGGTTCAAAATGAACAGGAACTGCTGTTGGGCATTGTACCCATTCTTTCCGTACCCATTTCGGGCGTCCAGATCTACAGTCGGACTTGATTGGAGAGGACACGCGAGAGGACGAAAGACCCTTTCCGAGGGGCACACTGCCACAGGAATAAGAATGTAGGAGGCAGGGGTCGCAAGGCACAGGACACAGGGGTGCCCTTGACCTGGCAGGGTCGACCTAGTAATCAAAGCCGCCTGTAGGGCCTGTGTGTCGCCTTGAACCGTTGTTTGAGGGTCCCGAGGCCCGGCGAGGACCCCAGAGGCCGACCTCAACCAGAAACCGCCCGCCCTGATTCTTCTGGAGCGTCGGACCTCTGGGCTTATGCTGTTCCCACGGAACTTAAAAAAACATCCCCAAACTAATCTCGAGCACCCGGAAGAGTGTCGGAACGGTGGTGAACGTGTCGCCTCCCGGGGCCCGACACGTGAAAACCATAGAATCCCACCAGCCCTCTGGGCGTCGGTGGTTTAGAGCGTTTCCTCTTCCACCCCTCCTTCTTCCCCTTCGGGGAGGGGTTTACCCCTCCCCCTACCCCCTCCCCACTGACCTGGACAGGGGGGGCCGCGACGCGTTGGAGCGTCCAAGATGAGCCAAGACGACTCCAAGAGGGCCTCAGGGAGCCCAAGATCGCCTCCAAGATGGTTCAAGATAGCGCAAGATGCCTCAAGATGGTTCCGAAGATGCTCCAAGACGCTCCAAGACCGCCCCAAGACGGCTCTAAGTGTCCACTAGAGCTCCCCTCGGATGCCCCCAAGAAGCCAAAATGTTTCAAAACCCTAGGGAAAATCAATGTTTTTGGCGTTCTCGCGCTTTCGCTTCCGATGCCCACCCGAGGCGTCAAGATAGCTCCAAGATGGCTCAAGATAGCTCCAAGAAGGGCCCAAGAAAGCCCGAAGACGGCGCAAAGAGCGCCCAAGAGCGCTCCAAGAGCCCTCCAAGAGCGGTTCAGGAAGCGATTTTAGAGGCTTTCCAGGAGCGACGCTAATTAGTGCTTCCGCTTTCTTTGACAGATCCCCTCAGGATGGCCCCAAGATGGCCCCAAGAGGCCCCCCAAGAGGCCCCCAGGAGGCCCCCAAGAGACCCCCAAGAGGCCCCAAGAGACCCCCCAGAGGCACCCAAGGGGCAAAGATGGCCCCAAGAAGCGCCCAGGAGGCCCCCAAAGGCCCCAAGATGGCCCCAAGAGGCCCCAAGAGGCCCCCAGGAGGCCCCAAAGAGGATCCCGAACGGCCCACAGAGGCCCCCCCGAGGCACCCAAGACGCCGAAAAGCCCCTCAGGACGACCCTCTACTCGCCTGGGCGTCGTTTCTGGACGGGCTGGTGGGGATACTTTTTTTTTACAGCCGCAGGCGGAAGCGCCAGCGGCGGGCGGTCGCGGTCGGGCTGCGGTCGCGACTAAGAGGCGGGCGCGCGCGAGGCCGCGGTCAGGCGGCAGGCAGCAGCGACCCAGGGCGTCTGAGCCAAGGCGTGCAATCCAGGGAGTCTGCAGGGCAGCCCCTGAGAAACATGCAAGGGCGCATCCAGGGAGTCTGAACACAGGCACCGAGGAAACCGAGCGCAGCCAAAATGGCGCGTAAGGCGCTCCCAACAGTTCGGATACGAACAAATAGGAACGGTCCCGAAGACGTCAGTCCAGGGAGTCTGACGGGTAGCACAGACTGACTGGTGACATAGTCCAGCGGGGAACCCTGACGGCGGATCAGAACATCGCGACGTCAGAACACGCATCCAGGGTGTGGAAACAGAGTAGCCAGAGAGAACCTTCCACAACTGAGATGCGTCAGGCCCATGAACCAGCGAATAGGCTGGTGGGGATACGCGAAGCGTCTAGAATTTCGGTACTGTCTTGGTGCTCGAAACTCTTTCTGGTGATCAATGAAG